GCAGCAGACTGACCTGGATTCAGATAGTGAGCACCTTGATATCATGAGCTGAAAACATTTGCTGATTTAAAAAAAAATAAAATAAAAATAGTGATTTATTTGAAAAGCATTGAGCAGCATCATTAACCACACTGATAAACAATGATTGTTTCTTGATGTTGCATTGTTTGATTGTGTTACATTTTAAATCAATTAATTAACTTCTTTTTGTATGGGACTACTGTACTGGTTGAGATGGTTAGCTCAGTAACAAAGCCTAGAACTGTCATAAATACAAAACACAGTTGTATGTGGGTGTTTTGCTGGATTTTTGCTGCATTCCTTTGTGTGTTACTGCTACCTATTGATTAATGTAGAATTGTGAAACCATTAGCAAAACAATGTATTGCCTCTGCACATGCATCTGTGACCGTGTGTGCATGCAACACAACAAACAAAACTGGAGTTCACTTATACACGCACTACTCCTTGAGCTAACAGAGGACCGAATATGGAAAATTCTCTAGGAGGCAAAAATCAAGCCTGCTGTCAGAGAGATGAGATGCCAAAAAATTGTTGAAATGACAGCAAATTTCAGGCAATCTTCTCGTAAGGCTTTCAGTACCATCTAATTCAAATGCTGACTTCAGAAAGGTGTGGGTTAAGGATGGTCACATGCTGTTTGACCATCTGACAAGCACTTAGGGCAAAGCATACTGACACCTTCAGGCTGCAGATATAAATTTCCACTACATATTTGCATGAACCTCACAAAGCTTAACCTTTGTGATTGAGACTATAAACTCATTAGGAAAATACTTGAAGAGATAACAGATAAGGAAGAAGTAAGGTGTTTTTCTTCTATGAGGACTCACCCACTGCTGGTCAGTAGAAAGAATGCAGCTTTAAGTTTGTGGTTATGATCTCAACGTCAACAATATCACAAGATCCTTGAATGTCGTCATGTTTCTGGTTTGCATTGTGAAAACGTGAAAGTTGACAAGAAAAGTATTCTGTAATACGCAACCAAGTGGATATTTTTTTAACCCTCCAAAACCTTTTTAAAGATGCAGACAAAGTCAACAATAATGCTGGCGTCACAGCCGTTGTCTTCATGCGCAAAATCAAATGTATCCAAGGTCATAGAATCTCTTTCCAAAACAACAGCTAAAGAACATTCTTTCTAAAATGTTTTGTCATCATTCAGTATGTCTAAAAATGTAAGTTGGCCAAGAAAAATAGCATAAATAGTTTTGCATTTGTGTCATTTTGTCGAAGCAGGAATCACATGTTTCATAACTGATTGTGTCTTACTGTGGAGCAGAATGTTGCCAAGTACGTGATGTAGGACACCCAGGGCGAAAAGAAACACTTTTTCAAACTTGAATCGGGACAATGTAGACATGTGTCTGCACGGTTATATCAGAGCCTTGGTTTGGAGAGTGTGGAAAATTTTTAAACATGTTGTCTGTCTCCAAGAGTGGAAAATTGCATAAAGGAAAGTCATTATGAGAAAACTGGAAGGAGTTTACATTAAAGATAAAGATTGTGTCATTTAAATTCTTTGCCTCTGTGCTACAAGATGGATTTCATTCGTCTATACATACATAGTACATAGTAGTGCTGCACAGTTAGAGTTTAAAAGTCATCACTAAGACTTAACACATTCTGCAACTGGCTTTTTTTGGATTATAATCATCTGCATTTAGATTTCTGTCAGTAACCCGCTCAGACTACAAGAATCGATTGAGGTTTGTCCTGGTTCCACTACATGAAGATCAATAGAACTGTAAAAGACTTCACTAGTCTGTGTCATCTGGGAGGTGAGAGGTTTGATGTGACTTGCACTGTTCGATACGTACCACAACATTCACTCCATGACCCTGAAGACCAGCCACTGTGAGTCAGTGATCTTCTTTTATAATGTACAGCATGTTCCCGGTATTACAGCCGGCAATGAGACAAAACAGAGGAAAAGCAGAGAAAGGATGATTACTCATCGTGTGAGTTATATGAAGTTGTTCCCATGACTTCTGACACCAGGAGCTCTCAGTCCGGGTGCAACAAAATCGATCGAGTGAAACAAAGAAGGTCCTGTCCTACAGTACAGCCCATTGTGTGTGTGTGTTTGTGAGTCTATGTGTGTCATAGTGTGACGATCAGTGAAACATGGCCTCATTTGATTGTCTGCCCATGTTTGTTTTTGATGAAGCAATCCTGACTCCAAACATAAACAGGGCTGATGTACTCTGCTAGTCTCGTTTCTTGCTGGCTTTCTAGTGTTCTAGTGTTTTTCTTTCTTTCTTTCCTTCTCCACTTTTGTTCTCTTGCTCTTTTTGAGCAACTGTTTCTTACACTAGCCCTTCTTTGTTTCCTGCCTATCTCCTCTCTTCCTCTCCTTATTATCCTCCATATTTGAAAAATGTCTTAAAACTGACAGTGATTTCTAATTAAGAGAAGCAACAAGTATTTTTACTTTGTCTTGATAATTAAATTAATACAAATACAGGCTTGTGAGATATTTATTTATTTGTTCTGAATGCTATGCTTCAGTTATACTGTAGAGTAATATGCGGACAGTAATAGTCAACGACTGGCTGCCATTTGAAGAGTCATAAATCTTGAAAATCTGATACAGAAATTGCCCCGGCAAGAACCCAGTCTCCTCTGTCCCCTGCTAGGAGATGCAGGTGGTTTGGTTTCAGGCTTTGGCCTCTTTTCCACGCTCCATGCTGTCTAGAAATTTTTGTCTCCTGGTGTTATGTCAGGTCAGCTTTGAACAGGAGGTCTCTGCTCTTTGACCTGCACAGCACTAAAAAATATCTGGGATGAACCATGTTGAACTTTTTTGGGGGGTGGTGGGGCTTTTTGACTGTATTTGATAATGACCATTGACAGGAAACAAGGGAAAGAGGAAAAGGGGATCATCATACAACAATGAGTCGGCCAGAGTTGAACCAGACTCCCTCAGATTATTTTGAATGGCTTAAAGAACCTATCTTTTGCTAAGAGATTTATTGCTTTCCTATAGTTTATTTTAGATATTTTTTGTGCATGCATAAGGTCCGTAAACTTACAAAGTCCACGCTAAAGGGAGGTGTTTTGTTTGACTTAAAAACACTACTGCTGACCTGCCTGAAATGCCTTGCTTAAATGCCAGGCTCTTCTTCAGTTACTTAGTGAGGTCATTATGTAGCACATTTGTATAAAGCCTACCTAGCAACAAATAAACAGCTTCCTAAGAGTCCACTATTACTTCCTTACTACAGCCACTATTGCCAGGGCTACGTCTCTCTGCCTATACTTAAAGATCTGGGGTTACTTTATGCAACTAACATGACTTCGCTTTTGTCAAACCAGCTGACCAATCAAAATGGGCTGGGCAAAGGGGAGTGTTAAAGAGACAGGAGCCTTAACGGGGCTCTTTTGACAGAGGGTAAGAAAAGAAGCTGCAGCAATGTACAGTGTGCAAAAATAATGTCATTTGAACAGTAAAGCATGTACAGAGACTAGTAGAAAATTGTAAATCTGTAAAATTGCATTATATGGGCCCTTTAACTCCTAGGCCACCATGATATAGAGAGGTGACTTACAAGGGGTGCGATTATTCTTCTGCATTTCATGTTGAACTGAAACAAGCAGGACATTATTCAGTTAGTCGGTCAGAGCACAATATTCAGTAAACCTTTTTTAAGCAGATATGTGAAACGTTTTCTGATTCCAGCTTTTGCCACTTGAGGATTCTTTTTATTATTTTACGTGATTGTAAATGGAATATTTCTAAGTTTTGGTCAGGCAACACAACAAATTTGAAGTCCGACATTCATGACAACAAATGAAGATCATCTGAGTCACTGGTCATTGGATTGTCTTTAACATAGCATTTATGTGATCATCATCAAGTTAAGTTGACCTGACACTTGACAAGCTTTAGCAAAGCAAGCTTAAGGAAGTTTTTGTAATTGTCCATTTTCATTGTCATTGGACATGAAAAAATCAGCTCAGTGCCCTCCCTCGGGTGCATCTAAAACCTCTGTGTTCAGTATCCAGCAGAAGTCTCTTGGGAGGGAGGAACAAACTTCTATTATCACATTCCAAACATTTCTTTCATCCCTGTTCTTCCCTGCCTCTCCTGCCTTCATGCCGCTCTCTCCCTTGCCGGGAGTGATGTCAGAGTTGCAGATTTCCAAGCCATGACTGAGCACTTTTGCAGACGACCCAGAGCCTGGCACAGGAAGGGGCGGGGTCCTTTCACTTCTCATTTCCTGTGCTACAGGAAGCACATTCCTCAGTTGCTGGCAGTCAGACAGCAGTAAAAAGCAGAGTGTAGCTGTGAGTTCCCGGCAGCAGGCCAACCTCCAGGAATCTCTTCAAGTAATTCCCAGGGGAGGTGTCTCAGGATTTGTCTGTGTGTGACAGACAGAAAGAGGCAGATTTACAGCTCATTCAACTCAATTCTTAAATTATTTCTGAGTAAAAGAAAAAAAAAATGATTTGGTGAAAAATTTTCCTGATGTATTATGAAACTTTTTCCAATATAACATAAAGAAAGCTTTGGAATGTGCGCGAGAGACACTGTTTAAATCAAACATACGCTTAAACAACCAAACCTTAACTAAATGTTAAACTAACGCTTTATCACAGTTTAAGAGACAGCAGCATAAAAGAGCTGGAGACGTATATGTGTGTCAAGTCTTTGCCCTTGCCAACATGTTTTTTCACTCTGTAGAATTCATGGCTCTGGGGTGTTTTTAATAAAGCTGCCCCTTCAACAATCCCTAAACACAAATCACCATAAAGACCTTAAACATTCCTGCTCTTAGCCAGTGCTGTTAAACAGATGTAATGAGATTAAATGTGGAAACACTATACATGAAAAATTATAACTAAGATCATACACTGCAAGTCGCTTTCCATCTGGCCTGCTTCTGTTTGAAGTTTTATAAGCATGTTACTCATGTACTATTTCAGTTCACTGACTGTGTGCTTGTATGTTTGTTTGACTGTTTTTTTTCCTGCAGGACAAAGGAAAAGGTTTGGTAAAGAATGTCGCCATGGAGGAACAGGATGCTCAGAACCTGGAGATTGTCGACTTCTGTAAAGACGTAGCAACGTAAGATCCTTGCTTCCTTCCTGTTATTGACCTTCTTTCCTTCTTGATAATATTTTGGATGTAAATATAGAAGTAGCTTTTAAGTTACTCATACACACATTTAGCAGGCTACAGATTTGTCACAAGGGGGAGCCATTCAGTTATTTTCAGATTAGTTGTACAGGTACCAACACCACCACCTATGGGCAAGGAAAGGAATTGCTACAGCTCTGACATTTTTGTTTGGTTGTGTGTTTCATTTAACGCTAACAACGAGCTTAAAATAAAGTGGAAAAATGTGCCACATTAACATCTTGTGGTGACAAAGCACGACAGTAAAAATACATTTTAGCTTGTGGCTTTATAACACCAAACATTAGTTTTTGAATATTCAGTTTTGTCAAATATCATCTATGAGCTATATGATGTTTTTAGGTGGTTCACTGAATAGCAGGTGAGCCTACAGTCACTGTTAACTATTGCTTATATTAGCGCTGTTACGATATATTGTATTGATGATAACTGCAAAATTTACAAATCGAAATATTGATGATATTAATACATTTATGTGAGCCATCTGCATGAAATCAGTTACATTGCGCCTTGGGCTATCCAAGACACAGCCCGAATTACATTAACACATGATAAAATATTGATTTTGGGTTTATTACTTACATCGCTCCATGTAGTTGTTTTCTACATGTCGGTAACATAATATTACAGAGCGTAATAATATAACATTCCATATCACTGTCAAATACCGTCAGCGTGCATGAGCGGTAACACCAGAAAGAAGCACTGGAAATCACTTGTGCACAGGCGCCGCGAGCAATTGCCAGTCAATCCTGTCCCGTGATTTGCGTCATGTGGTGGCAACATGCCACTTTTGTTTATGCATAATTGCCCATGGTGCAATGCGACTGATGTTATGCAGATGGGTCACATTTGACAATACTGTAAATTATCCAGCACCAGTAACTGTCTGGTTGATCGACCAACATATGCACAACATATCAGCATAGTGTTGTTAGAGACTCTCTCTATACCTCCTTACATCCGTATTTTATGTGTATTTCGTTTGTCCATTAACACACAAGACACTAAGTTAAAGATTCATTTGAATTTTCATATAGTCATGTTGTTGTTAATTATCTATAGAAACAGCAATAATATTGTTATTGTGAATTACTTTGGCCATGATAATCGCTTTGTGAAAATCTAACACATTGATGACACCCGACATGAACACTAGCTCACCAAGTGCTGTCTTGTACCTTTCCTGAACTGTAAGGAAATAGTTTAGATACATTTACAATTAAATTCCAATTTAAGAAGACATAAGTGTCTTGTACTTAGCTGCATCATTACAAAATAACCATTTTAGATTTATTATGTAATAATTCTGTAATAATGTTAATTGTATTGTAAAATACGTTTATGTGTATAGAGTGACAACTTTTGTTCAAGAAATTGAGCAAATACATGCAAAATACTAGATATTTGAGTAATTCTTCCCCTAATGTTTTTTTTTTTTTGTTTTTTTTTAAATATACACGTTGCAACAGCTGCTTTTAGCAAATACAGCATTTTTCCTTGTTTGTGAGTGCAATTGCACACTTACAGATTTTCATGTATGTATACACATAATTGCATGTTTTGCAGTTCTGTTCATTTCCTGTGGCTGTAGAGAATTTCTCACTCCAGTGGTTTCTTTGGGTGGAGTGATGATGAAGCAGCGTTCGGGGAATCCACTTTTTTAATGATGAAAAAGTAAACGCCCGCTGTCATCCACCCAGCAACTTCCATGCATACTTTTCATCTACAAATGCGCTACACAGCTTGCAGTTATAAGGAACTTGACCTGAAGTGTGTAAACAAAAATAGAGTATTTTCATGGCATTTTCATCATCAAGCAAATGGAATCAGACTCAACATCACAACCAGTCACTTATTGGATGTGGTTATTTCCACTTAGTAGTTCAGGATAGTAGTTATAAATTTAAAATGTTTTTATATAACCTTCTCAATGTGCACATAAAAATTAATTCTATTTATATTTGTTCTTATTTCCTCTTTGCCCCCTTCCATTTAGCTTTCCTGGTAAACTGGCCATGCTGCATTTAATAGTCTCATCCAAGCGATCTGATTCATATGCCTGGCTGGACTTAGCTTCCCCTAATGTGTTTTCACTGGCCAAGTAGACCAAAATATGGGGGGGAAAAGCACTGACTTGGTTTCTGCTTTGATTCCTTTTTTTTTTCCCACCAGCCTGCGTTCCAAATTCCCTCATGGTGACATTGCAACCAACCCCGGCTTCGTCCTCAGCCCTGTCATCCCCCAGAGAGACAGTGGAGGTGACAATAGCTGCTCTGTCAAGGTTTCTATTGAAATCTCTGAATCTCAGCAGCCAGTAACCTTCACCTGTGACGGTAAGCATTAAATCAGGGACAAAAAGTGTCTGTCATGTGAGCAATCTTTTAATCAATTTTTAACTAGCTAAAAAAAAAAAACAAGAGTATAACAAGAGTAAGTGGTAGATTGTACACATAGTGCAACCAACTGTTTTGACATTTCATGAATCATGAAAATTCTGCTATCTTGGCAGTGCTCCTGCACTGTATTGTAGAAATATTTTCGAGAAAGGACCGCAAGTCAGTTACAAAAATGGCTCAGCGCTGAAGTGTAGAAAATGCTCTGCACAGATGGTGCCCCATCACAGTTTAGTTAGCCAAAAAAGAATCTTTGTACCCTTTGCCTTTAAGAGTGAGCAGATCAGATTGCAGATAAGAGAGCTCTGAAGGAGGAAACAACATTCTCAGCTGCCAAACTCTTCACCCCCTCCCAACCTCATTTTTCTTTTCATTTTTTCGGTCGTGGGAAGTATACAACGTTCCATTACCACACAAATAAAGGTTTGTGCCCTCACTATGGAGTAGCCATGTTGGGCATAAGGGATTGGAAGTTACTTTTTTTCCCTCCCAAGATCTCACTAAGATTTTTGGTTTTGGTCCCTGGGTTGTTGAGAGCTGTAATTGGCTAACCCCTCGTTATTCACACACAAATCTACAACCACTGTGACTGACAAGTCCTTAAGGATGTGAAGCCAAGCACGGTAGAGGCTGTCAGCCAATCCACTGGACTCTTTTGTTAGACATATTATCCCAACTGTGTGACCAAGTTCACCACTGTATATGTGGGTCCCTAAGGATCAGCATTAGCCCACTCTGTGTGTTGATTTAAGTCTATATTAGAAAGTCTGCTGTCAGACTGTGTTTTATGACCTAGGTATATATCTAGCAACACCAGTGACAATTGTTTCTTGTTTGACAACAAACCCATACCCGACCTGTCCTCAGCTTTTAGTGTCTGCCTATGTAGTAGACTTTGTTACTGACTCTGACACTGATTGGATACCCAGTTCAACAGTACCAACCTATAGGAAGTATATATACTACTTTCCTCGCTCTACTTCCGAATTGCCCTTTCCTAGATTCCTGTGTTGAAACCTAGTTCACCTCCTCTTCCTGCTTCTGCTGAGTTTGTCTCCTTTAATCCCAGTGCTCGGGTCACTTCCTAGGTACACTTCCTTCTTCCCGAGTATGACATCTATTTCAGCGTTTCCTAATTCACTTCCAATGTTGTCAGCGCAGTTGACCCATATAGGTAATGGTCGGATTCTTCTGATTGGACACTAATGTGCTCTTAGGAACAATAGGCCTCAGTTATACTGAAAACTTGGACAGAAGGATAGAAAGAGATAGAGGACACGAAGGCTGCTCCTCTTTCAAATGATCCTCCTTTTTCTCATCATGCAATTCCTTCTCGGTGTGCTCTTGTTTTCTTCATCCTTGTTTCTTTGCAGCATCTCCTCATCTGTCTTACACTTTGTCTTAGGCTATTGTTCAAATAAATCTCTTTAACTTGTCATCTTTACAAAAACTACAGAATAAACTGACACATTAGAAATACATGGCCCTCTTCTCTGTTCCTTTTTGGTTTTTCTCTTTCCCGTTTCTGTCATTTTCTTTGTCTTGTCGTCTCTCAGTGAGTCAATTTCTGTCTTCTTATTTATCTCCTGGCAGCTCAACATCTTCTATCTTTTGTGGAAATCTCTAAATTGTGTCACCTTTTCTCAGTATTGCAAAAGGATATTTTATTCACTTCTGGTGAATTTTATTGTGCAATTATGTGAAAAGTAAGGCAATAGTGAGGCCAGTTTGCATGATTGCCCGAATGAATATATTGCCCAACAGTTAAGAAAGGAGAAAAGGATTTTCTGAAATCTTCACCCATTTTCAAGAGATCCGGCAGAAAGGGAGTTGCCTGATTCCTCCCAGGCTTGGCTGTGAACTGCTACTGGCTTCTGAGGATTCCTTACATACTGTGGCAGAGGAGAGGAGATGGAGGGAGTGAGAGAGAGAGGGAAAAGCATTGCATTAAAGAAATACAAATGAGAGAGAGAACGCAGAATGAGGGAGGAAGGGAGGAGTGTCAGAACAGAGATGAAAATGAAATGAGAGAAAAGGGACAAAAAAGACGTGAAGTTGCTGAGACAGAGAAACCAAAGAATGGCATTCATGGAGAAAGAAGGTGGTAGAAGAGTAGATGAATAGAAATTAAATATGGAGAAAGAAAATTGCATGTATGGTCAAATAGATGTGATACGTAGAAAGAGAATGACGACAGAAGGAAATCCTGGGAGTTTGGCTCAGGTTACTGTCTGCGGCTGAGTGGTTGTTGGAAAAGAGGCAACACCATCATGTTTCCTATGTCTTTCAAACAGGATTTAAACATAAGACAGCATTAGTTTTGCAGTTAGAGAAAGATGCAAATGTAAATGCTTACAGTTAGTACAAACCATGACGTTAGTCTACCTATATATGTATATACAGGCACATTCACTCTAAAGAAATAGCTCTGGCCTAGGATGACATGCTTATTTGTTTGCAGTTATGTAGCGTTACATGCAAGAGATTTATAGGTGAGAGTTCAGCAGTACAAGACATAGTAAGAGAGCTGGGCTGAACGGACCTCATGAGAGTTCTGAGTATCATGGAGTCACTAACGCTACACCATTATGCCAAAATCATGAATCACCAGCCTTAAACTCTTCCACTCTCTGCTACGTTGTTAGACTTTTAAACTGCACTTTTGATTCAAATTACTGTTTTCAGTTTGCCTTTATGTGTCTCCTTTTGTCTCAGAATCTGTCTGACAGTTGGACTTTTAGCAGAGGCATAAATCTCTATTTGCTCTGTTTCGAGGAGGGGGGAAAAAAGTCATATTTTTTACATCTTGACACTGTTTGTCTTGTCAGTTTAAAAAGTGCTGGGAAACCTCTGGCTTTATTCTGCCCTCTTGCCAGCTCGTCTAACATGCACTCTACATGAAACTGATTGGCTCTGAATCTCTATATTTTTGTTGGTGCGTGACCCTACCAACACCATTCCCTGACCATGTGTGAAATGGTTAAACAGTATGCGGTGGAGGAGTTTTCGCTTCTTTTAACTGGTGCCCTCAAAAATGCCCTGCTGAGAATTCCATTACCACCTCAGAACACCTCCAACACCTCCTATGTGCAACACTCGTGTTGTAGTGCCGACAGCACCACTACTGCCACAGAAGCATATAGTGCTGGTCTAAGTGGTAAGAAAAGACTTGTCATTCCTCTGAAGGGTGGAGGTCTGTTATTACTGGAGCCAGGGGTGGTCTCCCTCCCTGCTAACGTCTATTAAGTAACCTGAGCGTGGGTGCTCTGTCCAAAGCGGAGATGTTTCTGTGTTTGAAGACTCTCTATCTGTCTTTGTATCTCTTGGCCTGTGTTTGTGTGTGTTAAGCATGCGCTAAAAACTCTGTCGAAGTAGCTAAACAGTAGAATAATCTGCTTTGTGTCAGATTACGTTCTCCACCCAGTGTTCTCTTGGCCGGACCGGTCAGATATTGGAGGGTACACAAACACTTGGCAGCTGACCCCAAATCCCCCATTACTGATTATCATTGCTCACTGTAATTTCTTTGATTTGAGAACAGGTTTGATTTAAAATAAGAAACAGGAGCTGTTCAAAACCTGGAAGGATGTTTTGTGGTTTAAGAGGAAATCTGATAACTGTAAAACCTAAAGTGTAGTTCCCACACCTGTAAAAGCAGTCTTCTTAACCACTGGATGGTCATTTTGGGTAAGAGTGTCACCTGAATGGTAAATTGTATGATACTATAGCATGACTGTAACTGACCCTTGGCACCTCTAATTCACATTGGTGTGTCAGATGTTAAATTGTTCATTGTTGGATTATGATGCTTTGGTTCCTTTAAAAAATCTTAGCTTCCACACTTCTTGTTAATGCAGCTCGTATTGTGCTGTTGTAGCTGCAGTATATTACATATAGCAGCTTATCCTTCTGATTGATCTCTCTTCCCTCATTCTCTTTTTCCCCTTTCTCTTCCTCATCTCTAAATGTTGATCTGTCTTTTCACTTTTCACCACCCTACCCTTATCAAACTCACTTCTTCCCTCCCTGTTTATTTCTTTATATCAACATGTCAACTCCATCCTTTTCTTTCTCCTTCAGTGAGTTCTCCAGTGGAGCTGTTGATCAGCCAGACTCTCTGCTGGGTCCACGATGACTTGGACCAGGTGGACTTTTCCAGCTACTTGCTCAAAGTCTGTGGCCAAGAAGAGGTGCTGCAGAAGTGAGTATCTCCAAAACATTAACATTTCAGGAATTGTAGAATAACCACTTTTTCCTTGGAATTTGTAATAGGTTTCCTTTGCTTTCTTATGCCCTTGTCTCTCTTCTCAGTCTCTCCCTCTCTCTGTCTTAGCATCACTCTTCCATCTCTCCATCTTTTTCTCCTATTTTATCGCTCATATCTTGGCACACCCCTAAAACCTTGCACAAATAGCAATGGAGGATGTTTCTATATCTTGGCCTTCACCCTTTTCCACCATGAACATTCTCCTTCTAATCTGGGATACATGGGAATGGGTACCGCCCTTTACCAGCACTTAAAGTCCCAGTACATCCAAATTAGAGACTAAATAGTACTGGATTTAGGACCAGCATCTTTTTCTGCATTATGTACTGTTAAAAAAAAAAAAAAAAAAAAAAAAAAAAAAAAGCTCTCATAGGACAAAACATAGACACAGACAAAAATATATATGACACACCACAATAGCCTCAGAAAATCAATCAGGCTTTAGCCTAAATGTTGAACAGATGAATGCTGTGTGTGTTGTACTGGAACTAATACTCACAACTTTGTTCTAGACACAGTCTGACAGCTCATACTATATATAGTCACTGTATTGTATATGTAATTATTACATAAAAATGTATGATGTGGTTTATTGTTTATTTGCTTTATATGTATTATTATTATTATTATTATTATTATTATTATTATGTCTTTATGTCTTTATGTCTTTATGTCTTTATATTAAATACACAGTGAGCTTTTGAATTGCCCCTAGGGGATAAATAAAGTTATTTGAATTAAATTGAAATAGAATTGAATACAAAAGTATGTTTTTGTCAGTTCTTGAGGTAGGTATGGGGACAGTGGGAGAATGCTTTAATTTTTTTTATATGTAATTTCAAACATACTTTCAAAGTCACACTGAAAGTTACTGCTTAAGACCGGTAAATTACAAATACTACCAATGCCTTGATGCTTACAACTGTTAAATCACTGCTTCATCAGTAATCATAGTAACAACAGGCCTTTCATAATGGGACCTAAAGCTGTGCGCCATAAGTAAAATACCAGAATCTGGTAATATTTGTTCTTGGCTGTTCATTTTATGAGAGTCCCCAGCCACACGAATGAAACAGCAAGAACTGAATGTCTTGTAGGAGAGCTTTTGTCTTTTTATTTCTGGAAATTTACAGTGACCTCTTTCTGTGGTAAACATAATCTCTGTATCCAATAGGTGCATTATGTGTCACTTTGCACCAGCATATCTCTAAAGAATGACAAGTAGGTCAAAAAAACATTGAGGCTGCAAAATATCTTTGCAGAAAATATTTTTCATGCATCAGGTCTCAGTAGGTGGCCAAAAGCTAATTTGGGACAGCGGTTATGGGTGTTATTGCAACATATTGCTTCAACACAAAAATTGATAGTAGAGAACAACTAAGAAATATTATTTCACAGTTTTGAGAAATGTCCATGGCATAAGAGGATAATCCTCACCATCTGCAGTTAAAAATTAAAAAGTAACAATTCTGCATCTCTGTGTGGTTTCTTTTTTCAGTAAATGCTCGTTATGATTTATAACTTAAATGTGTAATGGTATTGTTAACCTTGCTTCTCTGCCACCCTGTGCCACAGTAAACACAGCCTGGGCAGCCATGAGTACGTCCAGAACTGCAGGAAGTGGGAGAATGAGATCACTTTACAACTGCTCTCGCACTCAACTATGAGAAGGGACTTGGCACGCAGTGTAAGTTACTCTAGCAAGCGGGCATACAAGCTCTTTACAGGAGATTTTTACTGAACTGTGGTGAAGGACATTTCAAGTTGTGCCACCAAGATTAATAGATTCATTTTTATCCCTGTACTGGAAACTTACAACACATAGTCGTCATTTTGTGAAGTGCTGTTCTTAGTTATTTTGGTACGAAAATAATAATAGCGCTGAGCTTATAGCATATGTTTAATTGTTAAATCATTGCTGTTTTGTCTTAGGCGGAAGATGACAACTCTACAGTTGACTTAGAGAAGCACCTGGGCCAGGTGGAGAGGCCTTTTAAGGAGAATGTCACCAGGTATGAAAATGTCCAAAACCTATTAAATTAAAACTCATTACTATTTAATTAAGAATTTATGCTGGAAGAAACAAGCCTGACTCCATGTGGAGATGCAGTTTTCACAGTTTTATCACAGTCTCCTTTCACTGTATTATTTATATGATCTTCAGACTTAACTTGAAGTTAGTTTTCACATGAAGATGTATAAGGAGATTAACTGTAATTTCTTACTATTTAATTGGTCAATATTATTTTTATCGTAATTTTCAGGGCCATAGGTCTTTTAAGTTAACCAAAATAAACTTTCTACACTTTCTCCTGATCTTGATCACCTCTGACAATACGTCACATATTGTTGTGTTTACTTGCAGACAAGGCCTGGCTGACTATTTGGAAGGCTATCACAATCAAGTCAACATCTGCCTGCAAAATGAGGTACATGTGGTCCCTGTGCAAATCTGGAAATTAAAGTAAAGGAATGGAAACTGTGAACTCCTTGTCTTTCCCTCAGAGTGATTTTGTGTACTGCTAAGCTACTGAAAATATTGATTTGTGTGGACTAGCTGCTTACATTGTATGGTATCCATAATCCTTTGTGGTAAAATAGAGTTAAATGTAATATTTAAGGACTATAGACATAGTTTTCTAATCACTGGATGGTTTTTGTCAATGAAAACACTTTACGCAAATGTTGACAGAGCAGGTCATTCCTTGAAGACTGGCTTCCTAGAAATGAAACATCTGGTTTTTAGCCAGTGTGGGTTATTATGGGGTAATTGAATGCATCTTGAAGGTAGAATAGGGAATGAGATTACACCACCACACAAACCAAATAAAACCAGATGATGGCATCAGTATTTACATGTAGTAAATAATACACTTTCAGCATGAAGAAGAGTGTTGTTTGAATTTTGTTGGAGTATTTGAACAGTGATGCCACAAATGTTATTCCTTCCTTTTCTGTATCCAGAGTACCCAGTACAAAACAGTGGACCGGGTGGTGCAGACTGTGAAGAACCTGTGCTGTGCTCTAGATGAGGTGGAGACCCAGGCCATCACAGAGGCAGTCAAAAGGCTACGACACTCTGTCAATTTACCCAGAACGCGCTCACCCAAGGTGGGCTCTTCACACAGAACACGTGCTAACACATTCACAGTATTCGATATGAGGATGTCTTTGTAAGACCAATATATTTTGTGTTCTAGATGGGGTCCACATCATCTGGTCAGTCATCAAATGGTACATTCTGTGCACGCACACAGTCATATTTAAACTCCTCTCACTCGTGTGGAATTTGTATGTTGCTGATTGCACCAAAAAAGAGTGTCTGTTGAAAAGTGTTACTAGTTTTGGCTGCATTTTTAATTTTTTTTTGCAATCCAAAGGAAAAAACTTAAAAATGTGCTTTGTTTGCTGTCTCATCTATGATGTCAACTGATCCCCACCTCATCTTGATAGGTCTCACCAGTCCTGTGGAGGAAAGCATGGCCTTGCTCACACAAGCTGTCTACGACCTCGCCAAGCTCTATCTGCGCTCCTTCTGTCCTCCTTCAGCCTCCTTCAGCTCCCCTTCTTTGCCCCAGGCTGCAGATGGGGAAGCTGTGGAGGGGAGGAGCAGCAAAGAAGCTTCTGGCACTACAGACCACCTTCAGTTCACTCTGTTCGCATTGCACGGCATCCCGGCCAACTGGGTCAGCAGGTAAACAGTCAGGATGAACACATCTAAAATTGGGATTATGATTTATTATTATATGATAGCTTGTAACCACATGAAGCCTGTGGTATGATGTATATTGCACCAAAAAATGTTATTTTCCCACAAATCTTATCCACACGTAACAACTTGAATGACTCTATTCTTTGCCGTAAGATAATTACAACTATTATTCATCCATTTGTTCTTGCATGATCACCCACTTGCTTAGTATTATTAGTGCCACCCACATTTCACTTAATTGCACAGTAATTATGCAAGATAGGATCAAAGGTAAAGAAAGAAAGACATGGAAGGCAATTCAGAATTATGATCAGGTAATTTGCCAAGTACATGCACTAAGTGCACCAGTGAAATAAGTTTGAATTCAGAAGCAGCTAGTAATATGAAGTTCAACAAACATGCGATGCATGATAACAATTTATTGGTCAGCAGCTAGGACTGAGGAGTGTGTTTCTGTGATGCTTCAATATTATAGCAGAGTCTCTCAAGCTGTGCTGTCACAGCAGAAAGCCCTGTTTTCCTCTTCTAAACAAACGGCTCTGGTGTTGTTCCCCGTGTCTTAGTTTTCCATGTCAGTGTCCAGTTTCACCCTAACTTTATCTCCAGCGTGTGTCTGGAACAGAGCTGAGCCAAATTTTCCGTTCCCAGCTATGTCATGCATCAGTGACCAGGATCAGTACATTTCTGACAAGCCCCTCCATGGTACAAGGACCTTGCAAAAATGATTTTTGATAGTCTTGCAGTAGGAAAAAGGATAGCATTCAAAAGCTATTTTTAGCACTGAATTATTGTCCTCAGCTGCAGATTTGTAGGATTTTCTTTTATTACTGAGACACAGCCAACATAGACATCATGGTGAACCCCAACCCAGACCCTGACTGGTCATGAGATTATGTTCTGATTATAACTAAACAGTGAAATTGTATAGGAAGTGTAGATGAAGTGTAGCTCTGTCTATAAGACCTTTTTGGATTGCTGCAGCGCCTTCTGTCCATGGTAATTTTCTAGTCAACCATTGAGGCCTTCATAGAGAGAGGAACTGCCTAATGACAGGCCTATTTACTCCAGCACAGCCTCTTCCAGCAGCTATTTTAAGCCAGCACCAAGCATTGCTGCAGTGACAGTCATTCCAAAGACACCTCCAAAAATATTTAGCTCCTCTCAACCCAAGACCAGGGGGACACAGTGAGTTCAGCATTTCCAAGAGCAGACAAGTAGCTAGGCATATCTATTGTGTTGTGGTTTTACTACAATGCTGTCTTGTTGAGGTCTAAGTGTTTTGCGTTGTTGTGGCAGTGTCTCATCCATCTGGAGCCTCAGTAGATGCCACAGCATTGCTAGCATATTGAGACACCATGACTAGTGGTAAAGCTGCCAGCACAGATGGCGCTGAGTAATGGATCACGCCAACTGTAGTGAAAATGTATAAGCATCGTGTTTGTGTTTTCACTCTGTCTTCAAAAAAAATTATGTTTTTAGTCCTGGATCTTGAGAGTGGTTGGTTCAGGTTGTATGGCATCATATCTGAAAATATGCATTTTGTCTGCGTCTATAGGAAATGTCTTTAACTGTGTGTTTCTTCCCCAGCTTGGGTTGGTATAGATAGCATTACTTAGGCATCTTATTTGTATTAAAGTTATAGTACTGTATACAACTGCAAGCATTTAGAGTTGGTAGATGAGCACTGATATGCCATTTTGAGACTTCAATGGAAGTGAGACAGTTTTCATGTAATGCTTCTGACCTTTATCACTACCATATAGACACTCTTGAGCAAACTCCTTAATGCCGAACAGGTTGAGCTGCTCAGTGAGCAACAGATCTGATTGGTTGCACTGCCAGGCTCATACCATAAGAGTTTTCGGCCAATTTAAACCAATTTGATGCCTCCCAACAGTTGGAGAAGATATCTGGTCTAGGGTTCTTGGTCTGAAATGATTTTTAGCTCAGGATATTTTATATTGTGACAGGTTTACAGATCCGGTTTTAAACTTGCAGAACTGCTCGCAGACTTATAAGGTAGGGCCCTGATAATTACAAACATGTTTAATATTAACATGTGTAACTCAGGATGGACACAACTATTACAGAATCTCCTGTAACAGCAGACACTGTTGCCAAGCAACGCTAAGTATTGTTATCCTTGAAGCTAATGTTAGCTACATGTATTAAACTCATCCCAAGTTTTTGCTGAAGAATATACAACCCATGCTAACAGCAGCTTCCCAACTATTTCCTTATCAGACTCCTTTGACCTTCTGCTTTTGTTTGTCTTCATTTTGTTTCCATCTGCTGCCCCATGAGATCATGTAAGGTGGTGCACTGCTATCTGCTCCCTCTAGCACAATAATCTCAATAACGTCTTGCAGTATGAGATACACCACTATTTTCCAGTCTTGTAGTGTGTGTGTGACTGAGATTGTTGTTAGGATTTTTAAACTTCTGTAGTGTGAATCCGGCCTAAGCTGCTTGTGATATAAATTTGTACAACTGTGCGACTGAGGTAGAGCTGTAATACTCTACAGAGTTGCTGCTGCTGCACGACCGTGGTCCACCCACACAGGTGTTCTCACTTCTGTTGCCTGATTAGACCTCTTTTCAGTCTGCGTGGGCACGCACAAAGTAGCTTCTCTAGATACATAAAGAATCATCAGAATACTAATGTCTCTTGTGGCAGTAAAATAGCAGCACACAGGTATTCAGTGTTGTCAGTGGACTGATTTGGACAAGCAGGTTGCTGGTTCAAGTCCCACATAGTTGGGAGGGTCTAGGCAAAAAGCTGCCCCCTTTCCTTTGTCACTATTTAGTTACTCTTGGATAAGACATTCATTTGTTCCCAGTTGAAAGAATCTGTTGTGCAGGAAACTGCTATAAATATCGAAGCATGTTTAGTGTTTTCTGTATTTAGTATAAAAAACGTGTTAAACTATCACTGTACTTTATATACGTACCTTTTTCATGCCTGTATGCTAGCAACCTGCCACCAGCAGCCTACAGCAGCGTTTTACTTGAATCTGTTTGCTTTCTTTATCTGATAGAACATGGATCATGCTTTATTACTGACATACACACACAAGTGATATTTGTTGTGTTGTTTCAGTTACGAGAAGTACTTCCTCATGTGTTCCCTCACCCACAATGGCAAGAACCTGTTTAAACCGGTCCAGTCCAAGAGAGTGGGCACATACAAAAGCTTCTTCTACCACATCAAATGGGACGAACTGTAAGTTCTCTCCTCTCCTCTCCTCTCCTCTCCTCTCCTCTCCTCTCCTCAAGAGATTGTGCTGTGTATTCTGTCCCTCCATGCTGCTGATACTGCCCTTGTCTCCCAAAGCATCAATTTCCCTATAGCAGTAGCTGTGCTCCCACTGGAGTCCATACTGAGCCTGACTCTGTTCGGGGTGCTGAACCAGAACGCCAGCAGCTCTCCGGACTCCAACAAACAGAGGAAGGCTCCAGAGCTACTGGGCAAAGTCTCGATGCCCCTTTTTGACTTCAGACGGTGAGGAGAGAGGACAGTCAATCGTGGCTACATTCATCTTTTTGTCGTTTTTCTGTTTTATACATTCACAATATAGATAGAGTTTTCATCTCAACTTATCCTCCGCAGAAAGCAAACTGTAAAAGAACCCATACTTTTTAAACATATAAAACTGAAAAGGAATTTTAACAAACCAGGAATAAACAATGTTTTTGTGACTTGTAATTTCTTGCTATAGAATATCACTGAAAGATCATAAAACTTTACATCCTTGCCACGGGCTCTTGTAATTTTCTATTGTTGTCTATTGCTGACTTTGTTTTGCAGGGTACTTGCCAGGGGCAGCAGGCTTTTGTGTCTGTGGACATCTGCCCAGGGAGCTGCTGCTGCCGCCGGCTCTATAGGCAGTCGCAAGAAGGTGCCTGCAGAAAGAATTGTACTGCAGGTTGGTATTACTGTCAGTAGACTGCCAAAATAGAATCAATATCCATAATGATGGCAGTACTGTTTGAGGTAATGATGCATGAGCACTAGCAGTTGTAGATTGTGAAACTCTATTGTGAAAGTTTCATATATACAGTCTAAAAGTATTTGGATGCTTATACATTTTTTTGTTCCTTGCTTTGTGCTTAATCACAAAGCACTTTGCCGTTAATCACCATGAATATCACCAAGGAAGTTTTTAAGGAATTAGGCCATCTCTGCTCACATTCTGCTTCTGTAAACACTGGTTTTCCTGCTTTGGAGGTTTAGCAGAGCTTTGCTTCTTGTTAATAACCATTGGATGCTTTGGTCATGAAGTCAAAAATGGTTTGCCTGTCTAAATGCTTATGCTAACAGTGATCTGAGAAGTAATTAAGCAAGCACGAGTGGTGCAGGTATATGCAAATCTTCTTCTTGATTTAAAGTTCGGTCAGAGGAATAAACTGATTCCAAGTCTGGTATTTATGTTATCTGCAGGTGGACTTCCCCAGCTCAGCATTGGATATTTTATATGTCGGACCAAATAAGGCCCCCACCCCAGAGCCCCACACTCTGGAGGAGCTGGATCCGGACCTCCGACGCAAACTGGAGAAAATCTGCAGCCGAGCTTCCAATTTCGGGTAGAACAATCTTTCCATGTTTTTAAAACTATAAAGGCAGACAGCCATGCAAAGTTCATAAACCATTTCACCAATTAATGTGCCAGCCTTTCAGCACTTCAGCTGGAGGAGTTTGTTTGGGGAAATTTGGTTCGCAGAAACGACTTCAAATAAAAGCACTGATATCAGTTAATGCCACTTGAGAGGTAGTCTTAATGTTGCTCAGCCTGATGTGCTAAACAGATGTGCCTCTTGTACAAACACAGGAGGCTTGAAGCAAACTGCTGAAGAGTGGACTAACTTGTCGAATTTAAATGAAAGTATGTGGATGAGTCAAAAGGCTAATATGTGTTTTTCTTTTCAACATACTGCCATGGAGCTGCAAGGTGGCGCAGTTGGTAGCACTGTTGCCTCGCAGCAAGAAAGTCGCCGGTTCGCGTCCCGTGGGGGCACCGGGATCTTTCTGCGTGGAGTTTGCATGTTCTCCCCGTGCAGCGTGGGTTCTCTCTGGGTTCTCCGGCTTCCTCCCACACAGTACAAAAACATGTTGAGGTTAATTGGTGATTCTAAATTGTCCGTAGGTGTGAATGTGAGTGTGCTTGGTTGTCTGTCTCTAAGTGTAGCCCTGTGATAGACTGGTGACCTGTCCAGGGTGTCCCCTGCCTTCGCCCTAAGTCAGCTGGGATAAGCTCCAGCCCCCCCGCGACCCTAGTGAGGATTAAGCAGTGTATAGATAATGGATGGATGGATACTGCCATGCACATACATGAGTATAAAGCTGTGTATGGGAGTTTGTTAAGGAGTGTGTCAAGCTCACCTCATCAAATGGAATGTATGTGCTTCCAAATTGTCATTGTAGCACACTGACTGCTGGTTGGACTTGAACAAAAATTACGTGGCCTTAAGTTATGTGGGTTTTTATTTTTATTTATTTTTTTTAAACATGCACAGGAACATAATTTTAAGTTAAATATATCTCACTTAGCAGACAGCTTTTTGACTTTTTCTCAGACCACCCAAAATCGATTGGACTTAGTAGATTTAAGAAGAGATTTTTAAAAGATGCCACTGACTTTGCCAGCCACAGTTCTCCATAAACGCCTGTATGTTGTCTGCTCCAGTGTGTCTGTTCTCTTCCAGCTGCTCCCGGCCTAACTAAATGCTCTCTAAATGCCTGCTGCCAGCCAAATCTCCTCTCCATGCTGCCAACATCCATGAGACTCAACCGGCACTTTAGCACAGAGCCCTCTCTCACTGGGCTCTCACCGCCTGTTTTCTGTCCTGGCCATTCATTTCTCCAGCCTCTGTGGGCACAGGACTTGTGGTGCTGCATTTTCACTGACATGTCATGTGTCCTTTTGTATGTGGGTGTGTGTGTGTGTCGCAGGCAATCCCTCAAGCAGACATTTTCATTTTTATTACTACAGGAAGTTCAGGCACATGTGGGAATTTAACCTCAGGATTTTTGGTTAAAAGTACAGCTTCAAAAATTGACATAGTTGCTAACCAGAGGACTTTTTGTGCAACATGCCTTAGACATACCTGGAATCTTGCAGTGCATGCAATCAGCATTCAGTGATAATCAGACTTGGTCAGTAGAATTAAAGACATTCAGTTTTCCAGTTTGGTTTGCCTTCCTCACTGGCAATATCACTTGACTCCCAGGTCTAATGACATGACTATTCTTCTGTCTTTATTTTCTCCAGAAGGGTTTTCTGAACATGTCAACTCTTTTATTTTTTTCTTTCTATCACTGTTGTCTTCAATTAGTTTCACATTTACAAACTATATGCATATATTTTCAAGTTTTACTCACTAACAAAGATGGTGAAAGTCCTTCCAGTCGGGGTTGTGTTTGTTGTTTTTGTGTACACTGCAAGTGCAGCGAGTTCAAGGCTCACTTTGGAATATGTGGGATTTTACTGAAGAGATCTTTCTGTAGCCTGGTCTGTTTTAAACATTATTGTTGATCCTCCCAGGTTAACTCCTTATTTGGAGTCCCTTTGCACTTTTTTTTTTTTTTTTTTAAGTTTACTTATATATCCAATCCATGTTGTCTGTTTTCGCTCCATCTCCAGGCTGAAGCGGGCAGATCACCAGCTCTTATGGGACCATCGGCTCCACTGTCGGAGGGACCACCCCAGCAGCATCCCTAAGGTGTTGGCCAGCGCGCCCAGCTGGGACTGGGCCAGCATGGCTCACATCCACTCCCTGCTGCACAACTGGCCTGCCCTGCCCCCCGTCATTGCGCTGGAGCTGCTTGATTCAAAGTACACACTGTGCTCAATACTTACCCTCATAGAATATGCCTTGCAATCCAGGAATGCATTACATGATGATATAGTATTGCGCAAATGCTATATGTGTGTTATATTTTCTTGGTTTGTTGTTTGCCTTGTGTTTAACTGTAATGTTTGTGTAGGTTTGCAGATACTGACGTGAGAAGTGTGGCTGTTAGTTGGATTGAAAAGAGCAGTGATGATGAACTGGCTGATTACCTGCCACAGCTAGTACAGGTATAACTAACAAAAAATGCGCACACACACACGTGTATATATATATATACTTTATTAGCACTAAAAACTAAAAAGTCTCATTCAAATACTTGTTTACTGCTCAGCTTCTTCTTTTTCTCACGAGTGCCACTATTCTCCTTTGCGTCTTCCAGGCTTTAAAGTTTGAGTGCCACCTAAAGAACGCCCTCATCATGTTCCTGCTGTCCAGAGCACAAGGCAACATTAACATTGCCCACTACCTCTACTGGTGAGTGTGCAGCACTGAAACAATCACCAACTAGCCAACACAGTTGTTTCCAGAAAAACATGAGATGAAATGTTGCAATAATTTTGTATTTTTGGTGTTGAAGTGAAGTGATACCTACTCTATGAGAATAAACTGAATGTCATTTGGTTTAGACAAAACACAACATCAGTTAAGGAGGAAAATTATCAACATCTTGTCTAATAAACCCCATGCACTCTGTTCCGTTCGTCTGACGGCTACTCAATGGGTCGGCTGCCTATGTGAACGTGCACCCTGGTCGCTTATCCGTAAGCAGTACTTTGAGTTGTGTGAAGTGATTTGAAGGATTTTTCCACATTTCAGCTTTCGTCCAAAAACATCACAGAGACATCTTGGACACAGCTCGTGTGCCAAAAACACAACACACCTTTTTCTGGCACTTTGCTCTACAATTTCAAATCTGTTAGGCAACATAATGAAATGTCCATAATAATAACACCTTACTGTGGTGAAAACAGACACCAACAACCTAAAGATGAATGATACTCACCAAGAATGAATGTAATCAGAGTATTTTTCCCCACAAGATGTCGCTGAAGTTTTTTTTTTCTTGGAGCTGTTTGAAATTATTGCTTTGAAGTTTAATACCTGCAGCATCAAACAGCAACAGGATTTATAGGTGCGTCTCCAAAGACAGAAAGTTGGGTACACTTGCGCACTGAACAACAGCACTTGTAACTAATTAAGTGCTTATAATTATAAATTATCTCATAAACTAGAGCGGATCAGTTCGAACCAGAATCTAATGGCACGTCACACTGTGTAGACCTACATGTCTTCACGTTAAACAGGTCAGCTGTCACACACAGAATAACAGTTTAGTTCCAGCTGTTTAAGACTATTTTGTTGTAGTTTATTACAAACCTGCAGCATCAGACAGCTTTAGGATCCATGAATGTCTCCAAAGAGAGAGCAAGGGCAAGAGAGAGCAAGTAACTTCATTAATTAGGCTATATTTGTCTATAAATTATCCCAACATGGACAAAGAGCCGATCAGGAGCTAACAACAGCTGTGAACTTATCTTCACCTTACACAGCTGAGCTGTCACACAGGGTCACGGTTTATCAGCTACTGTTTAATATTTTGTCACATCGCAGCCGACCTCAGGTTGTGTCCTGAGCTTTCCGTTTCACTGTTGCACAAATCAGAAACAAAGTGGGCTATTTGAAGACTTTGATGAGCTGCTGCTAGTTTTGTATTAGTCTGATATTGCTTTGTTATGTTTTGTACATCATTTGGTGTATTGACTGGTCTCACATGAATGACAAATATTGCGTGGGTACTGCAGCGCTACCCGACAATGTGGGTGGTGTGTGTGAATGCAGCCGTGAGGAACTTTAACGAGCAAATGACCTATATGTAAAAGTGGCTAAGTGCAGTCACTTTAACAGATGGAATAACCCAGCAATGTTCCATGTTGCATGGCTGAAGGGGTTGTAAATTACTTCACAATGAAAATAGTCTTAGTTGCCTGTGATGTATATCTCATCTGTCTGTGGGGCTAGCTGTCTCACCAAAGATTTGCCTCATATCCTGTGCTGGTCTGTGGCTTATTCAAGTCCTCAACATTATCTATTGAAGCATATTTTCAAATCATGATCTCAGTGCTGAAGCTCAGCCCTTAGTACAACTCATGGAGGTGCTGGTGAGATGCAAATTAGAACAAAACTTAATGATTGTACAATGCAGGACAACATTCCACTTAAATTTCAGCTGTTGGGATGTGTGTAATTGCTGCAGGCTGCTAAAGGACGCTGTGCAGGATCCTGCCTGGGGGCGGCGCTATGAGCGGGTGCTGGGTGCCCTGCTGTGTCTGTGTGGAGGCAAGCTGAGGGCGGAGCTGGAGAAACAGACTCACCTGGTCACTCTGCTGGGAGCTGTGGCCGAGAGGGTCAGACAGGCCGGGGGATCCACACGACAGGTCAGTCTGCGTGTGCCTTTGTGTTAAAGGCCAAATAATGTGTGCCTCTAATTGTGTGTGTCTTTATTTACATCTGTATGTGTTTGCACTTTTGTGTTTGTATAGGTAGCACTGCAAGAGGGTCTTGAAAACGTTCAAAACTTTTTCCAGAGGAACAGCTGCCGGCTGCCGCTCAGCCCCAGTCTGGTGGCCAAGGAGCTAAACATCAAGGTAATGCAAACAAGCACAGTTAGGCTGTAGCAGCACTGCAAGTAGTAGCTTTGAGAGCAGTTTTAGTAGTTTAGGTAACTTTTTTCTGTAGTATGGTGACAATCAGTTAGCTTTTCAGTAGCAAAGCCCTTTTGCAGATCAAATAGTGCGGTCGTGTCCCCACATGCTACATTTTCCAGAGCAGCTTTTCATGCATTCTAAAATTAAACTAAGGATCAGTGCATGATGATAACATGAACATTTGTAGTCAGAAATACTTCCATATGACCGTTACACTCCGTGCCAATCCTTAATGCAGTCTGCAAACACTAGATATGTGTTCTTTACTGTCTCGAGGCTGCAGATAAATGAAATGAAATATCCATCCAAACAGATAGACAGGAATCTATGATGTAGCAAACTACTTTTGTCTTATTGGTATAGCTTATCTTTCTACATTTCTCTGGGTGTTTCTTTAGTGCAGTAAAGCTTTTTTTTTTAATGGAGAGTAACTGCTATCATGGCTCACTTCGGTGTCAATTTACTTTACCCAAAACTACACACAAGCCACAAGTAATGAGAAGGTGTCAGTTTTGCATGAACAGAAATCAGGGTCTCTGCAGAATTCAGCTATTGTTTCTAATTGAATTCAGGTCGATACACCTTTCACACCACACTAGATATACCTGATTTACAAAGGATTGCCTGTTCTGAGCTCACAACATTAACACAGACTAGAAATACACAGAGAGCAGCAGAAGAAGAAAACCTTGATTGAAGTTTTGGGCACGAAAAAGGAACAGCCACATACTCTTTGCAACCTCTGAGGTTCAAACCACTGAGGAAATGAGCTCATTAGGCTACAGTTTCACCAAAATATGAAACACATGCATGCATGTAATCTCAAATATAATGCAGATATTTATCACAGATAATGAGATGCCCTACATGGTATATTTGTAGCATCTGCATGCACGGTATTCTCATAAATAAGAGAACTTGGCACAGAAGGTATTGTGGGAGAGGACACAGAGGAGTGTGTCTGAATCATCCTGGTTACCTCTGTGGTTCAGCAGCCTGCATACCTCACCCTGTATAGAGGCAGTTATAGTTTAATTGGTGCTTAAATGTAGACCTCCATTACACTTTACATACAGGCATCCCTTATATGGATATGATCCAGACACAATATGTCTGAGTTTCATGTACATGTAGCCACATCAGTGTGCGTTTACCCAACAAACTGTTTTCTACATGTTTCTTTACTCAAAAACATTTTTCATCCTGCTTCAGTCTTTATATGGCACAGTGATAAGAGCTCATGTTTTCTGGATAGTCAAAACAGCACAAGCAGTCTTTAAAACATCTTAGGAAAAATTCAAGAAATATAATGAAGGAAAGCACGAGTACGTTCTTTGAAATTGTGTCTGAAAACAGCATCACAGTGTGATGTAATGCAAATAAAATCATATTGCTCGTGTTTGTGTGTAGGCCTGTTCCTTCTTCAACTCCAACGCAGTTCCCCTCAAGCTGGCACTGGTCAATGCCGACCCACTGGGAGAAGAGATCAATGTTATGTTTAAGGTACTGCATACACACACGCTATAGAAAATGCTGGAAATTAATCCACTGATTAGAACTTCAAACAGCAACCAAAACAACAATTCTTGCATATCTACACACGTTACATTTGTTTAAACTGGGGAGATGTCATCAGGTTCACCCAAGCTTGTTGAGACCAACTGTAGTTGTTTACATGCTTCTTATCTGAATGTTGCACCCCCTGGTGGCCGAAGTGAAATCCAACCAGTGTCAAAAAGTGCATTGTGTTTTATGTGATCTGCCTCTGTGTTTTTGTCTTTCTGTATCAGGTGGGAGAAGACTTGAGGCAGGACATGCTGGCTCTTCAGATGATTCGCATCATGGATCGCATCTGGCTGCAGGAGGGGCTGGACCTCCGCATTGTCAACTTCAAATGCATCTCTACTGGCAAGGACAAAGGTGATAGACATGTACAGGCATACTTCATTTAGCCAACTTTTAAATGTAACTTTAAAACAAAGCACAGGCATATTGTAGAAACACTCATAGTTTAGAATGGACGTTTTTGTCTATTCAAGATGAAATGGCCGTTTTTTACTGAAATACTTGCTCATAAGAAGTATTCAGTTGCTGTCACTGATGGCACTGACACAATTTATCAACGCAGTTCTTTCACCAAATGAAACTGTTAAAATTGTAATCAATCACAAAAAACAAATTCTTTGAACTTCTGCCTGCTTTCTCCTTGGTTGACTGCTTAGGATGGTGCGCCATAGTTCCGCAGATGATGCTTTTCTCCCTCGACTTCTCGCTTTATTTTTTTTCTTTTCATAGTTTCATTTCATTTCATCAGCCTTTAGTGCTCTGGATAGTGCTGGCTTCCCTGTCACCAGCAACAGTTTCTAACATCCTCACCCCTTTTGCCAGAATCAGGTTGAAAAAACACGGATATGGAAACATTGAGCTTCCAGTGATTCTTGAGTGAACATCTGTATAAAATCATAGCAATGTCAATCCACTCTAAGAAGATGCCAGTTTGACATCCTGATCATCCTTGACCATACAAACAAATAGAAAAGGTGGAGCACACAGCTTGTGTGTTTTCTTGTATTAATAGAAGCTTTGTTGTTGGTCAGGTATGGTGGAACTGGTGCCATCCTCTGACACCCTCAGAAAAATCCAAGTGGAGTATGGTGTCACTGGATCCTTCAAGGACAAGCCGCTGGCAGAGTGGCTCCGCAAGTACAACCCTGCTGAGGATGAGTATGAGAAGGTACACACAAAGGATATGCTTGCACTTGCCCATTTGAAGAAGAACAGCTGTAATCCCGTCATGTGTCAGATTTTATTTTTTACAACAGATTCATATGTCAGGGGATGGCGCACGTTGAGTTATTTTTGCTGAATATGCATTTCTTGCACATCATCCCATTTCCTACATACTGTAGCCATTTATAACAACATAAATTCACATCCATGATGAATGGCAGTTACACTAACAAGCTTCTTTTTAATGTCTTATTATACAAGGTAGGGGAAAAGTGTGTGAATTATTCAAGCCATACTGTAGGATTCTTCTAATAAACACACACACAGTTGGTGTACTCTTGAAGTTTATAGCAGTTGTAAAACTCTGTGACCTTTGATGGTTATAAATGTGAAACCTTACTCCCAACTTCCAACCTCTGACCCTAAAAATTTACTGCACAAAGTGTGACCCTGAACTTTCGCAGTCTTCCAAAGTCGAGTGAGTATTTTTCATAATTCCAGGATTTGCTGGAAAAATCTGGAAAACATGGCAATTATCTTTTAATTTCTGGTCAGAAATGATTTCAAGCAGTGAAGTTTCAGCCCTCCGTAACAAAAATACTATACAACAATATTCTAATACATGCTAAGTGGCCAAAATACAATGTCTCTTTTGTCTTTTCCATCTTTCTAGGCATCAGAGAACTTCATCTACTCTTGTGCTGGATGCTGTGTTGCAACCTACGTGCTTGGCATCTGTGATCGCCATAATGACAACATCATGCTGCGCTCCACTGGTCATATGTTTCACATCGACTTTGGCAAGTTCCTGGGCCATGCACAGATGTTCGGCAGCTTCAAAAGGTGATAATGAGATCACATGTATACATATGTGTTGTTACTTGTCACATAAAATATGCTTATTAATATGCTCTGCTGTGGAGTGGACCATAGAGCTGTATCAGCATGTGTAACTGCCCCAAACAAAATAAGGTTCAGTATGAAAGGTCCTAGGCTTTGGTAGCGTCGTAAGATGAAAAATTACTGCTGTTGTCTTTTATGTCTGTTTATGTACACTCTTGTAATGAAAATTCTACATCACAAGCTCAACTTGAATTATTTTTTGTAGCACACTCCTAGACTCTTGTCATCATTATTAAAAAAACAAACACTTGGCTAGATTTTGACAAATGCAGTAGTGTAAACAATATTGAGAATAGCAGCTTGTTCAGATTCTCAAAGGAGAGGCACAACTGTTTTTATAGGGACTGACACTGAAGAAATCCTTTTCACTGGACAGTATACATAGCTTTGCAAGATCAACCCTATGATCAGTTTTCCATACCATATACCATGTCCAGAGAGTTCAATTTCCCAAAGACAAAAAACAGCGTCTTCCCACAGTTACTGCATTCCTCTGCAGGACCTCAAAGTCCCTATTTTTGACCTTTAGTCATGTTAAACATGTTCCACCACTAAGACAACTTGTCAGCCTCACCTGGAAATCATATAAGCAGTATGTCTCTGAAAATAAAGTAACATTTTTATTGATTTTACTTCCACTCACCAGCTGGTATCCATCAGTTGGCCAGGTTTGCCTTGATTAGATAAAACTTTCTTCATTGTGGAGAGTAAAAGAATATATCCGGTGAAATGCAGTTAGTGTATAACCAGAAGTGGAAAAGAATTGTTTATTAGTTTTACAGATAAGGGCAGGTAGAATTAAGTATGACAGCATAAGTGATACTATTGCTTACATTATGTGTGGTGTTATTGACAGTGGAGAGCAGTACACATACTGATTATTGTTACGGTATAATGTACGAAATACTGGATGTTACACATAGAGAGGAAGTGCCCAGAGACAGAAAGAGGAGCACATATATGAGGGTAGTATGTACAATCAGTTATACACTATAATAATTATCATCTGAACAACATGAGAGGCTTAGCGTGTGCTAAAATGAGCAGTGCAAATATAAAAATCACAAGATGGTGCAGTAAGGAGTGCAGTAATGCTGTGTGCTGTGGTATGAAGTTCAGTGGTGTCACAACCTCAGAGAAGAAGCTCCTCCTGAGCCTGCTGCTGTGGTAGTGGAGCTCACTGGAACACCTGCTGGATGAGAGGAAAGTAAAAAGTCTAGGTTTAGGTTGAGGTGCATGCTTGATAATACTTTTCTCCCTGCCCAGCATTTTGGGGTAGATGTTCTCAATGCTGGGTAATTGGATGCCAGTAAACCATTGGGCAGATTTTATCACTCGTTGGTGCTTTACAGTGTGATACAGAGCAACTGATGTATCGCACTTGTCAGTTTTATTAAATATGTACAATGTGTTACCTCACTACATACTTTAATTGGCCTTTCTGCAATCAGAACCTGAGACCTCTCTGCTCACAGTGTACTGGTCACCCACCATGTGGAGCTCCCGTATTAGCTGATTTTAGCTGGGAACTTGATTCCTTTACAGAATTGTAAACAAATACACCAACTTATTAAAGCATTGCCCTTTTGAATGTCTCATCCATTATACTGATGATAAGAAAGACACTGAAGCTGTGTCCTGTGCTTCAGTGTCCTGGTTGTCATGTGTACTTAAGCGTCGATCACTAAAATATTAAATATGATGCTTTTGTTTGATTTGAAGTGCATCATTTTAATCTTGTATTGTAAAATTAATTGTGCTCAAGCACAGAGCCTGTAGAATAATAAGAAACTGTCTGAATAATTATCGTTGGCACTCAAATTACTCAGGATTCCTTTATGGGCCACTGAATGTGCTGGAGATGCCTTATTGCTACACAGCAAGATTAATGTATGTTTTCAGGCATGACCTGTTTTTTAACTGAGATACTCACACACTGCCCAGCTTGGCTGAGTTACAGCTATTTTTAATTACACTTATTTATGGCCTTGGAGCATCTTCTCTCTGAAGTATTTACAGACTTTATAGTAACTTGCTGCGTAATCCCTTTTTTTGTTGTGTCCCCAGTGGATTTTCCCAGGGATCTAATCACAAGACCTTTGATCAGCAGCCTTTTCCTCTAACTTCTTGGCTAACACTAACCAGAGGCTGAACTCAAAACTTACTGCTTCCCCTCCTTGTTTCCCATCAGAGACCGGGCTCCCTTCGTTCTCACCTCTGACATGGCGTACGTCATCAACGGAGGCGAACGTCCCACCAGTCGTTTCCAGCTGTTTGTGGACTTGTGCTGCCAGGCCTACAACCTCATCCGCAAGCACTCCGGGCTTTTCCTCAACCTGCTGTCACTGGTGAGACAGAACACACACACATATATAAACCATATACAGTCATCCTCAAATGTATTCATCCCCTTACATTAAAGAAAAGGCAAAATTCACAATAGTCACTCAAATAACTAGAAACTGAAGAAAGTAATAATAAATAAAAATTTGCTAAATTATAGTTTAGTGAAATAAGACATTGATTTTGAATTGTGGTTGAAAAGAATAATTAAAAAAAAAAAACTGTCCCTGACAAATCAGAGCACTTTGCTGATGAGCAGTGGCCCAAAATCCAAATACCTGTCAACAGGTGCAGAAGTCTGATTGAGAGTTACAGAAAACACTTGATTGCAGTGATTGGCTCAAAGGCTTGTTCAACAAAATATTAGTTTATGGGTCCCATCATGTTTGTGTGCTTGTGTGTGTGTTTTTTTTAATGTATATTTCTGTTGAACCACAATTCAAAAGCAATGTCATGATTTTCATGAAATTTTTTATTGATTATTACTTTTGTCAATTTCAACTTATTTTGGTGACAACTGCTTTTTTCCTTCTTTAATGGGAGGGTATGAATACATCTGAGGACGACTGTACATGAGAATTTTCCAGGATGTCTAAGCACACTGGCAGAAAGGAGTACAGCACAGCTTGACACCGGTGTTTGCATTCAGGATGAACAGATGGCATTTTTTTTATGATGCCTTGATTAAAGCAGTTGTTGCGGAATAGTAGTACAATATTTGTGCTCTCCTGTCTTTATGCTGCTGCTGACTTAGCTTTATTGTTTTTTGCTTTCTTGCCAGTTTTGGAAAGGAATTGTCCACCTGTTTTGTTTTTTTTTTTGCACCTGCGCGAGCAAGAATAACAAGATATGAAAAAAAAAACACACACACACACCTTCATAATAAATCAGTGCTTCACTGTTGTCCTATACCTGTCGAAGGTGCTAGTGCTGCTTTTTTCATTGTATTCCCTAAAGAGACAAGTGTATATATGTTTAGTATAGAATCAATTTTGTCATCACTTTAGAGAATTTAGTTTGTAGTTTGAACTACTTTGCATGATACAGACTGATTTTAATCCTGCACTCATTGATATAAATAGGTTATGTAAAATAATAAAAGCACATATTGGTGTAATACAATTCAACAGCATCAGAAACCAGTGTCACTAAATGCTGTTGAATTTCTGCTGGTAATTTCCTAAATTAAAAACACCCCAAATGGTAACATGAGTATTTCCTCATTTGTCCTAGCAACATTTCTAAATAGTATTAATAAACTCAGGTGATTGTGCTCTTAAATGCGCCGCCCTGATTAACCTCACACATTACAGCAATGATAACTTTAGCACGTTGATGTCCAGTATAAATCATCCTGTCATTGTCGTCGTAATTAGCGGAAGTAGTATTAGTGGTAGTAGTTTCAAGGTTATCAGCATACACACTGAAAACAATGTAAACAGAACCCCATAGAAAAATAGATTGAATACAACAGAGAACACTTACATCATCTCTGACTTCTACTCAGGCAACTGGATCAGCCAAGGAATTAAACAGAATCCAACACTGTACCAGAGACAGGGCTCATGTTAACAACAAAAGACAATAAGCAGAAACTGTAACCATCTACATTCACAACAAGCTTAATTCAATAAATACTCCATAAAATGGATGTGGCTGCTTTGAAGATAAATTCTGCTGTTACATGTAGTGTATATGCAAATTTTATGTAACAATGTACTGTGCAAAACGACTGGTAATAACAAAGTAAACCTGAAAAACTACTTTGAAAATAAATCACTCAAAAAATGTTTTGAAATTTTGTGTTCATCTCTTCAAATGATGTGTATGTGTTGCAGATGACGTCATCAGGACTCCCAGAGCTGACCGGCTCTCAGGATCTAAAGTACGTGTTTGACGCCCTTCAGCCTCACAATACAGATGCTGAGGCCACCATCTTCTTCACCAGGTAAATGCATCAACTTCTGTTCTCCGTGCACTCATTCAAACTAATTACTCTTCAATCCTTTTTCAGTGGAAACGTGTTGTGACAAATGTTTAATATAATTCCACAGACTTTTGTAAATCCTCAAAACTTTTTCCTTCAGAAGTATTCCCACATGAACAGCAGGTGTTTTGGCTAGATTTTCTGTTTTGAATAGAGTAAAGTTCAATACTTCTCTTTTTTCTTTGGTCTCTTTTGTGTTACAAGCTCCATATCCACCAGGTGGCAGTGTAGGAGGAAGGCAAGAACTGCTGCTACCTCACATTTCAACAACAAAACAATGTACAAACTGTAACAGGCATACTGGGTTTTTGTAGGACCAGTCAGACTGCATTGAAATTAAAAAGATGAAGGACAGTGTGCTTTATTAAGTTTTTGTTGTAAAGAACTTAAGTTAAAAGAGCATATTGACACAAAAATTGCCTCATCTTATTCCCCCCCATATATTGTCCTTTCTCTCCTGTCTCAGGCTCATTGAGTCCAGTCTGGGAAGTGTGGCCACCAAGTTCAACTTCTTCATCCACAACCTCGCCCAGCTACGATTCTCCGGTCTTCCAGCCAATGATGAGCCAATCCTGTCTTTCTCCCCAAAGACATACACTCTGAAACAGGAGGGGCGCATCCTCCACGCCTCCATCTTCTCCTTCCAAAAGAGATACAACCCCGACAAGCATTATGTGAGTCCCACCAAAGCTGTTTTCAATTTTGTCTTCCATTTCCCTGTTTGATCTCATACGTAGATTTAACTGGACTGTGATAAAACCAGATTTCATGGCTGTGTCCACTGTGCTCTCTGTGCAGACATATGTGGTGAGGATCCTGAGGGAAGGTCAGAATGAGCCTCAGTTTGTCTTCCGCACTTTTGATGAGTTTCAGGAGCTCCACAATAAACTGACCATCCTCTTCCCTCTCTGGAAGCTGCCGAGGTAAACCATCATCTCTTCGATTGACAACTACATCACGTGTCTTCTACTAATGTTTTATTCTTAGAGCAAAACTGTAATACAGTCGATTTTTCTCCAGTTGACTGACCAGGTACTTATAGTCGTCCTCAGATGTATTCATACCCTCCCATTAAAAAAGGGGAAAATAACAGCTGTCACTGAAATAAGTTGAAATTGACAAAAGTAATAAGTAAACAATTTAATGAAAATCATGACATTGCTTTTGAATTGTAGTTCAACAGTAATATTTAAAACAAAAAACAACAGCAACCAAAAAAAAAAAACAAGCAAACAAGCATGATGGCTCCCGTAAACTAATATTTTGTTGAACAACCCTTTGAGCCAATCACTGCAATCAAGTGTTTCTGTAACTCTCAATCAGACTTCTGTACCTGTTGACAGGTATTTGGATTTTGGCCACTGCTCATCAGCAAAGTGCTCTGATTTGTCCAGGACAGTTTTTTTTGTTGTTGTTTTTTTAATTATTCTTTTCAACCACAATTCAAAAGCAATGTCTTATTTCTCTAAATTATAGTTTAGCAAATTTTTATTTATTATTACTTTTTTCAGTTTCTAGATATTTGAGTGACGACTGTAAATTTTGCCTTTTCTTTAATGGTCGGGTATGAATACATTTGAGGATGACTGTAAGTAACACTCACAAACCACAGTTGTGCTATCACCCAAATAATTCATTTGTGCTTTTTTATCAGCCTTTTCTGCAGATGCTATAGTGTTCCATCTGTGAAGCTGATCAATTAAATGTACCTTGCCTCTCTGTTTATCTCCAGTTTCCCGAACAAAATGGTGCTCGGTCGCACCCACATTAAAGAAGTGGCAGCCAAGAGGAAGTTGGAACTCAACAACTATGTCCACAACCTGATGAGAAGCTCCACAGAGGTCACCCAGGTACACACAAACACACACACTCGGCATCAGTATACTGCATTGTTAGTAATCAGGAAGAGTTAATTAATTAATCTCTGCTGTCTTCTTCTAGTGTGACCTGATCTACACCTTCTTTCATCCCATTGCACGAGATGACAAGACAGAGGGTTTAGATGCCACGCCCAAAGCAGCTGGTAAACACCTCAAATATTGGTCTTTTTTTGTAACTCAAAAATATCAAGTATTAAAACAATCAATCAAACTTTTTGCACCTTCAGAGTTAAGATAAAATAAAGACACTTCTTTAAATACAATATGTACAAAAACACAAGAAATCGGTGTCCTACAAAGCCAGAAGATATTTGACTATTACTGACACTAAGTTTTCTATTAGACAATCTAAAGTCATGACATGTTTAGATTATGTCTTACTGACATTGTGTTTATCATGTTTCACACCAGACACATGTAGTTGAACAACAAGCTGCTGTATGCTTAACAGATGAAGCAACAAAAGATCATCTGCACCTATAATATGTTTCAAAACAGTGTCACGAATCATGCCCCCAGTATTACAGGTTTTCAAATGAATGTATGGATTTTCAGATTATACATGAGCACATTTCTAATGCTAAATGTGGTTGAGACACTGTTGTTTTAGTTGGATTGATTAGTGGGCAAACCAGTAAGCCACGATTTCTAACAGTATATTTGGGCACCCCTGATTTAAGTTTGACTGCCATCCCCATCAAAGTAGTATCCTTGTCCAGTAATACAACACTTCCAGCGCTTCTGTAACACTTGTAACACCCCCTGGAAGTCCTGTTATGTAAACACGCCAAGCACCATCTGCGATGAGTGCTGAATCTCCTAAACTGTGTCAAAACTGTGAACCTTCAACTTGAATTTCATTGTAGGGAAGAGGAAAAAGACACAGAAAGCCAAATCTAGCGAGTAGGGTGGGTTAGCAGCAATGATGGTGTTGTTGTGGGGAAGTCGCTGAACTGTGACTGGGCACACCGAACGAAGCTTTATAGTTTTGCTTCAGTGAAATTTCACCTTTGTCGATACGAAAAGCCAACCCATCAATAAAAGTTATTTCCTTTAGTTAGAGGGTATACAGAGGATTAACTTGTCATGATTAACTAGCTGAGCAGTTCACTTATGAGTGACGACATGCTCTGCAACAATGCGATTCTCTTTGATGTGCCCTAAGTAATGTCAGACAGTGTGTGAATAACTCAGATCTCAGGTTGGCAAGTAACAAACAAACCAAAACATTGCCTTCGCCGACTGACTGGAGTGTGATAATCTGCCACACATGACCAACACTCAGCCCGTGAGCCGTAACAATCAGCCGACCATGACTTTAAACGGGCAAAAGTTATTCCTGGAATCAATTTTGGGGAATTTCGTTATGACAAAAACCAGGATTATGACATTATTCTATGACAATAAACAACTGTTTTACTATAGGATATATAGGAAATTTGTGGGACGTGGATGTTTTATGATTATAAATGGGATATTCTATAAAGCGTTATGACATTAAGTGGGCAGCACTGTGTTGGGAAGTTTAATTCCTGGTGAAAAAATGCGCACGTGTTGTTTTTTTAAATTCCTTTTTATGTGTTACTGCTGCAGAACCTCCACTGAGTCCCACCTCTGGTCGGGTGGAAGGAGAAGTGAAGCTCTCAATCTCCTACAGGAACAGCACTCTCTTCATCATGGTCATGCACATTAGAGACCTGGTAAGCACAGCACTGCTTTAACACACATTCCTGTTTTGTTATTTCTTTTCTTGTTTCTCCATTTGTTGTCACACAACTAACCCTTCTCCTCCCTGTCAGGTTTCTGAAGACGGAACAGATCCCAACCCGTATGTGAAAACCTACCTGCTTCCAGATCCACACAAGACTTCCAAACGCAAGACGAAGATCTCGAGGAAAACCAGGAACCCTACTTTCAATGAGATGGTTAGGAAATACTATGCTTGCATTTATTATACATCCATTACTTCTTATTTATGTTTTTCTTGTATAACCAAAAACCTACATGGCCAACAATCATGACAGACACTCGTTGCTCACTTTTCCCTCCTCTCCTCCCCCAGCTGGTGTACAGTGGCTACAGCAAAGAAACCCTTGGTCTACGGGAGCTGCAACTGAGCGTGCTCAGTGCTGAGTCACTGCGTGAGAACTACTTTCTGGGCGGCATCACGCTCAGACTCAAAGACTTTGACCTCAGCAAGGAGACGGTCAAGTGGTACAAACTAACGGCCGTTCCCTACTTCTAACTTCTACCTGCCTCTCCTGACTCTGACTCTGCCTCTTCAGACAACAGCGGCTGCGTTCAAATCATATGGGAAATGCAGCAGATGCGACCTTACTTGAAAATACTGGTCACCTCAGCTTTTCAGTTCATAAAAACACTACTCCAGAACTTGGGCGTCTGGAGACGGACATGGATTTGTTTGGGGGGGGATTTAAGACATCGTTATATTTGAGGTATAAGCAGCAATATTTTACTTTAAAATCTAACAAACCAAATTGACCATTTCTTTCACATGAATCTTGTTGTAATTAGTTTTCTTAAGGCGTCATAGCAGAGTACGGTTGTGCTTGTTGCTGAAAAACATGTATCACAAACTACATATATGTTGACTTGATTCTGCGGACTTTTATAATGAGTTTGCATGTAATTATCATGTTGCTCCAGAGGTTCTTCCCATATGGCATGAATGCGTTAAAAACTCTCTCAGATGCACCCTCAAAGGGCGACCAAACAGGCCATTTCACAAACCCTGAAAGGGGGGGCATGGTCTCCATTCTTCACTGTTTTTCTTTCTCCCTTTCTAACTAATCAAGATTGTTTTTGTGGCAAACAATCTCCTTATTTCGTCTCTCTTTTTCCTAAAGTATAACGAAGAGCTGTAATGTTTTGTACATTTTGATATTAGAGGACCAAAACAGCTTACTTTCAGAAGAGTATATATAGATTGACACATTTATTTTTTAAGGAATAGAAAGGGGGCTCATTTTTACATTTTCCTTGTTATTTTCTATATAGACAAATAGAAGGCATCAGGGTTTCCTGCTTTGCAGCAGACACTTCTGGGTAGAGTAGTCCAACACACCAGATTCCAGGAAATCAGTGACTTTACGATTCCTCAAAAATGTGCCAAACGTAATGAAAAGGACGGCAAATCAAACCACTCTCCCAAGTAGGGAGCTGATCAGGGTGCCTTTGTTTGTGCTCACAATCTCTTTTTAATGCTCAACTTGGCCTTATTACTATATATATTTTATTAACAATGTGATATGTCCTTATTAAAAAAAAAAAAAAAATCTATATTCTATAAAGCTATATCAGTAGTTCTTCCAGAGCAGGTCTGGTGCCAGACCAGAACCAGAAAGGTTTTTTGTAACAGTGGAATGCCACTAAATGCACACTACTAGGTCTTTTGCTCGTGGTATTACTTGACTATTTTCACACAGCACACCTTAAAGGGGAATTTGTATCATAAGCTTCGAAACACGTTCTGTCTCTGCTCTGGATGGAAATTATGGGTGCCCAGTAACGCTGATCAGAAATCAGTTGAGTGCTTCCTTCAGGTGGTTCAAAACCACAATTCAGGAGCTGCTCCTGGAGTCTGGACGTGAGGCTGTTTCAGCTCAGGCAGCAATACCACACTCACTCCCAGAGCCTAACAGTGGTGTAATGACGCCGTCATGAGTGACTGGGTTAAAAGTTAACAATAACTGCCAGTGAAGTCCAGAACCAGTCAGGTTTTATGAGTGAGAGAATGTTCTGAATGTTCAGAAATGATCCAGATCAGCGCTGAAAAGGCAACTTTAACCGAATACATCTTCACAAAAAAGGGAACAAGATCCTGAGCAAGACATTAGCTGCTTTCCTCTCCACTTGCTAACTTTAAATCTAAAGTTGTTGTTCATGTTTAATAAAGAAAGTAAGATGAATTTATCCGAAAAGGTTTTTAAAGATCTACAAGACAGTTATGATGTCACACTATGAATATTAGTGGCTTGATCCGCTCTTTTAGTAACTGTACAAAGAAAGCAAGCAGAGTTTGTATTAACATGGCCAGTTATTTATTCTTAATTGGTGACCTCTAGCCCGAATGGATCAGTGTGTACTGTAATCCCTCTTTCCTAAAGCAAATTAAATGTTTTTGGAACAAAGGTGAAGTGTCCTTTTGTGGTTATGTATGAAACTTGTTGGATGTAATGAAGTTGGCAGACATTTTTTGAGACACATCCAGATGATTTCTTACACAGTAAATGGTGGCGATCTTCAAGCATCCAGCAGAACAGCTCGTTCTCGTCTTTCTCTCAACATCTGTGCAATCATGTCATTTGAATAAAGCTGCATTTTAAGGAGCCCTTTATTATAGCCACTGACCAGGGAGGGTCTGTACTGGTCACGCCATCTGATCATTATCCTCTAAAACCACTCCTGATCAGGACGTGGATTGAATCAAAGGTGGAAAATTTGCCACCAGATGAATAGCTAAAAAACTTTTTGTACGCAATTTTTAACTTTGTCTCAGTCAGTAAAGAAGATCTTTTACATGCAGTGTTTATATTTTGGTTTGTCCCCAAAGGTCACATTGTGTGTAAAACATGAGGTTTGTTTCCAGTAGTGTAGCATGACTACAGATCGACGAGGAATATATTCATCAATAAAGGTGAGTTTTTGCATGTTTATGTCTACTTGATTGTATTTTATTCAGGTTTCATATCAGCATTGACCTCACTGCTCGAATTCTGCTCTAAAGACTGCAGTCACAAGCCAACTTCATGATTCATTCAGTGTCATTTTTTATGTATATTTCATCGTCAAATAGAATTTTCTGTCACTAGGTATACATGAATAAATAAAACAAACAAAAATACAGCTTGGTAGTAGCTCATAATAACATGGTAATCATCTAGTAATAGCATAGTCACAGTTCTAACACAGATATTAGTTACAAACAAAATACAACCACACCAACATGGTTGCAGAATAAAATGAACACACAAACAAAAAAAAAGGATTTAAAAAGGCAAAGTTTAAGAATGTAAAGGGAAAAAAATTATTTAGATAGTCAATAGTGGTTATTTTCTGTCGTCAGTACTAACTAAATTATCATTGTCAAGAAATACTTTCTGAAAATCGTTTATTATTAATATATTATTATTAATTATTAATATATATTTTTAACAACTTACACACTTCCATCAATTAACTATTTCACTTTCGCATGGGGCAAAGTTTCTTGCCAGCAAAGTGGTATGTCTGGCTAGCATGAGTACAATAGTTATTTTGTTACAATTGTATTCCTTCATTTTTATATTTTGTTCGTACAACTCCAAAAAACCAGACCCACTTTCAGTCGTCACATGAAATATATCATAATTTAGGCAGGCCTGCCACTTGTGTGGTCAACAGGGAGATGTTCCAAATCCTCCACCTCCTCCCAGTTTTTATTGATTTCTTGCAGGAGGATTCTTTCAGTGTTACATATGATGATTTAACTGTTGCACTTCGTTCACATTTTCTGCCTGCACAGTTTTCACTATTGCTGCATCACATTCACAATACACTAGTTTTCAGCTACAATAATAAGAACAGTAAAATGCATGTTCGTTTTGTCACGGTTTAAGTAAAGTCTTACAAATCGTTTTGGTGATTTTCAGTGACATCTAATGAAAGCAAAACCAAAAAATATGTTACAAAAAAATAGAAAAGCTGTTGTTATGACATTTTAATACTTATATGCAACTCCAGTATTAAATGTTTTTTATGCAATATTCAGTAAGTGAATGCACACGGAAATACAAATAAATTCCTAATAAATACATAAGCTATAAAAATCTTCAAAAAATAATTCACTTGACAGGTTTCTGATTAAATATATATGTGTTTCTATCTATTATTTGCTTGTTTAAAGGGTCCTGACATAAAAACAAATGTTGTTATTAATGTGTTTATTTCGCTTATTTGTATAGGTTTTAAGACGCCACGAGGAAATGTGCTCGACGCCCTCCAGTGTTGCCAACTCCTCGATAAGGAAATTAGCTAAATGCCTAATTTGCATGCAATTGTAATGGACGCTGTAGGAGAGAGGAATAATGTCGGGTGGGACGCACAAAAAGTGAGTAAAAAACACCCTAACTATGCTTAGAACTACAAATTAACTTTCTTTTGCTGATTCTTGGTTTAGGTTTTTTGTGTGTTTTTGTTTTTTGTTAATTTTGCTATTGAAATAGGCCATCACTTCTCACAATAACTTAATGACTAAGGCTTTGTCTATAGCCTATCCCAGCTGAGTTAGGGCGAATGCAGGGCACACCCTGGACAGGTCGCCATTCTATCACAGGGCTACACTTAGAGACAGACAACCAAGCACACTCAAATTCACACCTACGGACAATTTAGAATCACCAATTAACCTCAACATGTTGTTGGACTGTGTGGGAGGAAGCAGGAGAACCCGGAGAGAACCCACGCTGCATGGGGAGAACATGCAAACTCCACGCAGAAAGATCCTGGTGCCCCCACCGGGACACAAACCGGCGACCTTCTTGCTGCGAAGCAACAGTGCTACCAACTGCGCCACCAGACCCATATTATATAAATCAATTTTGTCCTGTTAAATGTTAGAATATCAGATTTACTTAAAAGACTATTATGTCGGGTGGAATTGCTATCTCTACGTTCAACCCTCCTCCTGTATGCGGGATTGTGACCGGCAAAGTGACCCATAGAGACACTCTGGCAGAGTTACTTGGGATTTTTTAATCTTTTTTTTTTTTTTT